GAGGCCGATTTCCGTCTTAAATGTGACCAATAAACTTTTGGGGAAAATCCTAGCAATCAGACTTGCCGAGATCCTCCCGGATTTGGTAGGGATAGAACAGGGCGCATTTGTTAAAGGAAGATCAATATTTGAAAATATCCTAACAACAATTTAAGCCCTAGAAATCATTGGTAAGGAAAGGCGGAACCTGGCCATCTTGATGCTTGATATGGAGAAAGCATACGACAAGGTGGGTTGGGCTTTCGTGAATACTACACTTTTAAGACTTGGATTTGGCCATACGTTTTGCACTTGGACGAAAGCGCTGTATGCAAACGCAACGGCTTCGGTTCTCGTGAACGGAATACTTTCAGAAGAATTCACGCTAACTCGCTCCTTAAGGCAGGGCTGTCCTCTGGCCCCACTGATCTTTGTGCTTCAACTTGAAATTCTGATTGATAACATTAGGTCCAATCATACAATAGAAGGTCTGAGGGTCCCCCCAACACACCAATGGAAGTGTGGAGCTATCGCTGATGATCTTACCGTGGCCTGTACTAATTCTCCTGGTTGTATGCATGAACTACGTATGATTATTGATAAGTATTGCGATTTATCGGAAGCCTCAATAAATTGGGACAAATCGGTATTTTTCCTCCACCCCCACTTTGATTTGTGTGTGGATTGGGGTCTACGCCGCATCCCTCCAAATTCATCTGATCGATTCCTTGGAGTACAGGTATCCTTATCAGACTGCTCCTCTACTCAAGATGACATCTTGGTGGGGAAAGCAACATCAAGGATAGAGAAGTGGGAGAAGAGGCATACACTCTCCCTCTTCGGTCGAGCTTTAGTTTTATCTGCGGAAGCCTTCTCGACTCTTTGCTTCCCACTGGCGGTCTGCTTACTTGGAGAGGAAGCGTATAACAAGATAAAAAGATCAGCGGCTAGATATCTTTGGAAACCAGCTGCTACAGAAGAGCAGGGTTTCATCTCCAAAGTGGCTTGGGAGGCAGTTGTCAGACCTCGCAGCCAGGGAGGCTTGGGTGTGCTCGATCCGATTCATCAAAACCTTGCTCTCCTGTCTAAGTGGCCAGCCCAAGCGATGGTTGGAGAAGACAACAAAATTTGGATGAAGCTGGCAGAATATATGTTGGGCAGTGAGTGGGGCCTGGAGGATACGTCCAAGTTGTGGTTGTGTTTAATGTTGCCCTCCTTTACCCAACGTCGACCTCATTCAAGAATCTGGCGGAACATAGTCTACGCATGGAATAAAATCAAACCCTCGGAGTGGAGACCGCCAAACACAAAAATGGAATGCCTCAATCAGCTCCTTTTTGACAATCCTTTCATCCTACAGCAGAACGGGACTCCATTCTCAGCTAAGGGAGGAGGCTCAAACTTCGGCACCTCATGGATCAAGAAAGGTATTAAGCAGGTTAAAGACCTCTGGGACCCAATCGTGTCGGACTGGATAGATGAGGGGATGATGAGAAGGAAACTCCCAAGGGTCCATAACCTTTTTGAGAACTATCAACAGATCCTGGAGACCATTCCCCAAGCTTGGGCCTACCTACTCCAAGCGGACACGGAGAACACGCTGAACACCTGGCTTAGATCTCCTGATAACAATAATGAGATTTGGAGGGTAACTAGCCATGTCCCTGGTCAAGGTATAAGGGTGCAAACCTGGCTTCTCCCCTCGATCGTTCAGACTACGGGGCCTTTACGAGAGACTGGAGAACAGCTCGTTCCGCACACTACTGATCTGCTGGAGGTCCGTGTTCTATATCAAGATGATGGAAAGGGTAAGGCGACAGCTGTGTTGGGCAGAGACGCAGACGCTTACCGAGTAGAACCGCTGTTGTTTGGATGGAAGGGTCTTAAGGGTAGCAACTCTTTCACTCCTTTACAATCGTACAAATCCAAAATAGGGGTAGAAATCCAGTGTGCTCAGTCCAAGGTCAAGCCTGTTTCTTTGGCTCTGAAAAGAGCTCAAGCACAGGGATTTACAAATGTGTCTGAGGAAAACTTGAATATCTTATGGATGGCCTTGAAGAAAATGCCATCCCAGAAACAGGCAGCAATAATCTGGTTACAGTCGCTCCTCATTACAGCTACTGCCGCATGGCTTTCTACTAAAGGAATGAACCTCTCACCTACTTGTCAGCGCTGCAACTGGGGTTGGGAAGACCATGCTCATTTATGGCTCTTCTGCCCTCTGCTAGACGATCTTTTGGAATGGTGGAAAAGACGCTGGCATGGACTTTATGAGCAACAAATGCAGTGGACTGATAGCTGGTGGTTAACAGGCATGTTGCCTCCAGGGCTTGGGTTTCACTCAGGTACTGGTCATGTGGCACTATGCTGTCGTGGGTCTCTGTTGGAAGTCATCTGGACAGCACGAAATGCAAAGGTTTTCAAGGGCGAGACCTTCTCCCTTCAACAGCAGAAGGCATTGATGAAGAATAAACTAAGGTTAACCATCATGGCAGACTGGGCACAACACTGTTCAACTGGCTCCAGGAATCTGTCGTGGTTCAAACGATCTTGGGGAGAGGCAGGCAACTGGGCGACTGTTAGCTCAGAAGGTCCTATGAAATTTGCTTCATGGCTGCTTAGCCATGATGATTGAGATAGCTTGGAATAGCTGGTCACATTAGACCTCTGTTTCAAGAGAAACTCTAGATTCTCTTCAGCTGGCTTCTTCAGGGACAGTAAGGACATAAGATTTGAAAGTAGGAAGTCAGCAGATTCGGGCCTCAGCCTAGTTTGATCTTGGCTGGTAGGCTATGATGAGACTGTGCTTTAAAGTAATATGCGATTAAGGTTTGAACCTTCAAATTACAGGCGGAAGGCTAGGAGGCCACATTTTCCCCTAGCTAGGCCTACCTTTTCTGAACATTCAAGTTTACATTTTTTTGGGAAGTTTTTCCTTCTTTTCTCTGTTGAGAGCAAGAGGTTTTTGGGGACGCTGGACCCGCTTTCCAGCACGGTTCTTTGGTGATGTTCCGGGTTGAATTGTGAGGTCCCCTGCCTCGAACAATTTTTTTTTCGGATTATAAAGCTTCAACTTCTCAAAAAAAAAAAAAAAAAAAAAGAATTAAAGGGAGGAAGTAGGAAGAACAAAAAAAGGGGGAAGAAAATAATAATATTAAAATTGGAACGAAGCAGAGAGGGAAGTTTAGCACCGCGAAGGATGACACACTAGGTGAATCTGCCCACGATAGGAGGCAAAATACACTCGTTCCTATTTATAGCAAACCGATGAACCTGGCCATTTTCTGCAGGAGGGTGCACTGCTTTCGTTTTTCGTTTCGTGTCCTGTGCGGCGACGCCCTTATAAGGCTGTACTCACGCTGAACATAATAATTCCGAGATCCATCCAAATAGGGTCGTAATGATGGTCACATACATTTACCCTTTTGCTGACCCGACGTGTGAATGTGTTCTAAATCGAGAATGGTCCAAAAACGAAACGACATAAATACACAGACTCGTCTGAAGAGAGTATGATAGCATATCTGTGAGAAAACAGTGAAACTTCTTTTTCGTTTTCTTTTTTTTTTTCTTTTTTTTCTTTTTCTTTATCTTTTTCTTTTT